TTCACCACGAATCCTCGTTGGACCCATCTTCCAGGCACACACATCTCACTCACCAGCCACGTGCCACTTTGCGAGCAGCGTGGTCAGATAGCAGACCGACAGCGTCGGCTCTGCACAGCAGCGGTCCAAAGTTTTCAATCTCCGTATTGGCCGACACACGTTGCACCAAGCACAATGCCACGATGCACAGTACACCAGTAGCCATCAGGTGAGCCCTCTGCAACGTGCTACCCAACGAAGATCGCACGCGCTTGTTCGATGCGCTTGCTGCTAAATGTAGAACGCTCGGCTTAAAAGTGTTTTTGAACGGCATGATCTTGACCTGAAGCACGGGCCAGCGTGCAGCCAAGGGGAAATTGTCAGTCTCATGGCCCAGCACGACGCAGGAAAGAAGAACGCACACACGCGCAAGCGACCAACAAAAATCTTTCTTCTTGACTCATATCATTGCATCCGACCAACAGCGTGCTCCTCAAGCTTTGCGACCCATCGCAGCGCTCTTAGCACCGCGAGCTTCACTCGATGAGCTCTTCTTTTTCCTTTCCGCCTTCTTGCCCTTTTCGGATCCATTGGCGACCCGCTTTCTCTGCTTCATCTCGATCCTCACCTTGCCTTTGCGCTTGCCATCAGCCTCATCTCCCAGCACATCCCTCAGCTTCCTGACCTGAGCTTCTTCAGCTCTCTTCTTTTCCTTCTTCTCTGCCCTCCTCTTCAATCGCTCCGGATCTTTTCTTTTTGCTTCTATGCGCGCCTGCTTGGCTGCGTCGTACGGAATGGATGGTCCAGGGTTGGCCACTTGCTTTGAAGAAGAGGAGAGTCGATGCTGAGTAGGCGTGTCCACGACTGTAGCGCTCTTCTTCTTTTGTCCAGGCGAAGATCCGCCAGGTGTAGGAGCTCCTGCACTTCTCACCCTGGATGGTGTCGAGAGAGATTCCTGCGCATCGCCATCGACGCTGCGTCTCCTCTTGAGCTCTTCCCTCTGCTTCTTTTGATCGAATGCGCGTCTTCCAGCACCAGAATTCTTTGTGGTCATTTTGCACTTGGATACGCGAATAGGTCGACCTTCAAACTTCATCTTTCTTCTATACTCCTTGACTCCGGCAGCGCGCGCCTGCGATGCTTTTGCATTCCGGTCCCCACCGCCAGCACCAGTATGACGACTGCCAAGCACGGCCTCGTCCTGCGCCGCGAGTGCCAGAACCTCGTCTACGCAGCTCTCGCTCGCGAATCTGACGTATCCGAACCCTTTGCCCAATTGCGTCGCATTGTCTCGGACCAATCGAATCGATCTGACCCATGAGCTGCCGCGCTGTGGCGCTGGTGGACACGCCGTCTTGTTTGAATGTGTTGCCTTTGACGTGGGACCGCAGTCCTCTTCGTCTGACCCGTCTGACGTATCCGCATCGCTCTCTTCTCCCTTCTGCACTTCGCTTTGACCAGCGCCAGATCCATCCGTTGCCCGAGGTTCAGGTGCAGGCATACGTTTCCAAATCTTGTTGTCCTCAAGCCCTTCCCACGCAGGAGGCGTTCCCATCTCGTTGATCAGAAGCAGGTCGAACCAGGTCCACAATTTCTCTTCGTCCGCATTGTAGTCCAGACCACCGACGAATGCGGTGAATGGAGCATCCTGCACATCCGATCGTGGAGTGCCAAGGGGCGAGGTTGGTGGCAGACCGCCTCGATGAGATGCTGGGATAGCAGCGCTAATGTCCACGCGCAAGTGACGCCCTTCGAACACGGTGCCATCTGCTTGATGAGCGGTGAGGGCAGCGATGCCTTGCGCATTGAGATTCTTTTCGTAGTCCGATGCAGCGGGCGAGTCTGCATCTTCGCTGTCCAGCATCGCGATTGTGACGTAGGCATTGACGGAATGAGCTTGTTGGTTGAGCTCCTCGTTGATGAAAGCCACCTTTCTCTTTTGAGCAGGCGTCAGGAACTTTTGAGCGGGTGCCGATCCAGCACCTTCCTCTCTTTCATGCTTCCACACTCTAGCCCTCTCTCTCCTCTTTGCTTTGGCGTTGGCCTCCTCGACATTCTGCGCGGTATAGTCTCCTGTGGGCACTGCGAATGGAACGCTCCTAAAGCGCAACTTCTCCAACAAAGTGCGAGAGGGCCAGGGAGAACAGAGCTGAAGATGACGAAGGAGCTTCCTGCGCAGAGCCTTGGACGACATGACTGCCAAGGGAATATTGCCGACGAATAGCGTCCGCGCATCTCGGATCGCTCGAGCGCTTTCACTGTCCCCGTCGTCTTCACCGGCTGCTTCGACCTCGAGCTCGCTTGTGGTCGCCCCTTTTGCAGATGAGGGATGCGCCGCTGCCTTGTTGCCCTTCTTGGCGGATTTGCGAGCGGCCAGGATGGACTCATGGACCAACTCCACCGACACACCTTCCTCCCCGTCGCTTTTCCCGCCCTCGTCGCCTTGGGGCCGTCGCTGTTGCGCCTTGTCGTCGGACAAGGCTTGCAATTCGCTCTCTTCGCTGTCCGTATCGCTCAACCATGGCCCATCACTCGGTGCGCGCACTTGCCGTTCACCTTCAGCCTCTGATCTCACTTTGCGTCTCTTTGTGTTTTGCGTGGACGAGTGTGGTGCTGATCGAGTGCGTTGAGTGCGCTGCGGATGTGATGGTGCTTGTTCGGATGCAAGTTGAGTGGAGGTGTCGAGTGAGGAATAGGCAGGTTGAGCGTTGGAGAACATGGCGGCCAACTCTGCATCAAATGAGTCAGGAGGAGGAGGAGGAGCAGCAGCAGGAGCAGCAGCAGCAGCTTGAAGGGCCCTGTTTGCGCGTTTTGCCTCCTTTGCTGCTCGCTTCTCGGCTTTAGCAGCCTTCTTGTCGTGCTCGACGCTGGACATTGTGAATGCAGCACAGTGTGAGTGTGAGTGGGTGAGGTGGGGTGAGGTGGGGTGGATGCGACGAGTGATCTCGCATCTCGCTCATTCGCTCTTTCCAATTCACGACTTGTCCCACAACGCATCTGACTGACTGGCATCGCAGAAAAGCTTGTGCCCCGCCGCCGTCCGTCAACTTTGTCCAAAATTTGTGAATAAAATCGCAAGCAGCAGCACGGGCAGATTTCTCGCACGAGAGGTGCTTCATGCGCTATATGCGGAGAAGTCGATGATGCGAGTGCGGCGCAGACACAGCATGATGCACGCACGCACGCGCCTAATTAGTGAATAATCAATCATCCAGCACATTTACATTCACATTTACATTCACATTCACATTCACATTCACATTCACATTCACATTCACATTCACATTGTGATTTATTCTGGGCAACGTGAATATAGAGGTAAAGGTGACGTGGAACCGCGAGGGTGGAAGGGCGGGGGTGCACAGCATTATGTGCATTTGCACGCCATGCCATGCCAGCAAGCAAGCTAGCCAGCCAGCCAGAAAGAAAGAATATAAACGCAACCTACACGATCATCCATTCACCTTTTCATCAGTCACAGTCACCAACAGTGTTGGCGAGAGGTGCGAGTATTCGACATGCACGATTCGTGATTGATTTGCTGCTTTATGAATTGCGTCGATTCAAGCACAAGCACAAGCACAAGCACTCTGCCACGCTCCCCCCGCTCCCTCCAACGCATCATCGCATCATCGCACATCCGCTTGCTGCATTCTGATTCTGATTATTCTCACTCTTATTCACACTTCGGCCCCTCACCCCCACACCGCACACCGCACACCGCACACCGCTCTCAGCGAACGCCAGCTCGCTCATCCAAAAATGAGGCCAAGGAACAGCGCATCGCGCGCACCTCGCATCATGGCAAGCAGCGGCATCACCAACCTCATCTCATGCGTGAGCGTGAGCGTGGTGATAATGATGTTGCTGCTGCCAACGACGGTGCTCTGCGCCCTCTTTCCCGCCAACTCTGGCGTGGTGCAAGCGACGGGCAAGACGTTCGATGCCGAAGTGCTTTCCATCGAGAAGCCCACATTCGTCGCCTTTACAGCTCCCTGGTGCGGTCACTGCAAGAACCTCGTGCCGCAATACTCTAAAGCTGCCAAGTCGCTGGGCGGCATCATCAAATTCGTCAATGTGGATTGCGACGAGGAGGGGAACAAGCAGACGTGCGCCAGGTACGGCGTACAAGGTTTCCCCACCATCAAGTTCTTTCCCGCTACCAAGAAGAGATTGCCGAGGGATTATCGAGGCGAGAGGACGGCAAAGGAGTTGGCCAAGTTCGGCGCGGAAAGTCTGCCTCAAACGGCAAAGAAGCTGACCGCAGAGGCTCTCATCGATTTCGTCGATGCTGTGAGTTCAAACGCCAGCGCGATGGCTGCTGCTGCTGCTGCTGCTGC